CGGGAACGTACTTTGGGAGCGTTGAAATGGCAGTTCCGGAAGATTTAGGGCTCCTGCCGCCGAGGCGGTTAATGTCGGGGAGGGTTTTAGGAGTTGGCCTTTAGATGAAGCCGCTCGTTAATGGCCAATGGCCTGCCGCCGAGGCGGTTAATGTCGGGGAGGGCTTTGAGCTTTAGGAGTTGGGCTGTAGATGAAGCCGCTCGGTAATGGCCACTCTGTACGTTCACGTTTAGCCCCATTTTCCAAACCAAAGCCTTTCATTTTCCCCTGTATTGACAGCGCGATTAACGCGCGATTTGGGGGCCAGCGCGGGGGGTTAGCCTTTCTCTGGCCCCCGTGCCCTAGAGGGGCTGCAGCACTCGGCCGGGAGGCGGGCGCACCCAGTCCACCAGCCCTTTCCCTCTTCTCTTTCCAGATGAACAGCGCCATGTGGCAGCAGCCGCAGTTCGGGGGGAAGTACGAGCAGTTCGGGGGGAAGTACGAGCAGCCCGGCTTCGCCCCGCCCGGCTGCCAGCAGGCTCCTCACGCCTTTCACCCCTTGCCGGCCTCCCAAATGCCGCGGCGCCCAGAGGTGCCGGCGCCGCGCAAGGGCAGGCTGGGCGCCCACCCCTACCACCCGGGCAGCAGGCACTTTGGCCGCGAGCAGCGCTTTGGGGAGCGGGGGCCCGACTACTGCCGGGGCAAGAGGGAGGAGTACGGCTTTGACGAGAGGGGGCACGACGCCGGCGCCGGGCATCACTACAGGGGGGGCAGGGAGGAACCTGCCTACGAAGACAGGCACCGGGACGGCTGGAGCCACGACTACGACTACCGGAGAGAGAGCTACAGAGAGGCCAAGTGGCACCCGTCGCGGCATTAACGCCCGGTCAGCGGGCTTTAAAGAACTCGAGGGCAAAGAAAGCTCAATCTCTTTCTTACCGAGTATATGTATAAAAAAAAAAAAAACCCAACCCAACCCCGCACCCCATCAAAGTTACCTTTTAATGATGTTTGTAAAACTACTAGCAGCGTAGTCCTCCAAAACTCGCGTCTCAGTCTTACCTGCGTTAACGCTACGCCTCGGGGCTTTTCACGGGGGGGAGAAGACCCGGGGTGCCCCCC